GCTGATGCCGACGCAGCGTCTCACTGCAGCTCCTTCCTCCTGCAGCAGCCATCTTCACTGCTGGCTGTTTCCAGCCTGCTTGCTTTGACAGACCACTATTTCTAGCTGCCTTAGGGGCATAACAATCTCACTCAGAACACCCCCACACACTGCACCGAGCAGTGTGATAAAGCATTCACCCACCTCCTACAGTTTTCATCACTGGGTAATTCCTTCTTCCTAGAGAGAATGTAGCTCAGGGTGTTTTCCACATTAAAGCTAGCATCTATCTTTGCAGAACAACAGAACACCCTGAGTTGGCAGGGACCCCACAAGGATCACGGAGTCCAATGCCTGGATCCACACAGGACCACCCAAAATCCAACCTTGAGTGAGCTGCAGCAGTCTGGGGCTGTGCCCACTGCCCTGAGCAGCCTGTTCTGTGGTCCCTGGAGTTCAGTTCTGCTGGCTTTGAAAGCAAAGCAGTTCAGCTCCATCATTCAGAGACAAATACTGCGTGCACTCTTCTTAAACTTCAGTTGGGGACTGCCCTCTGATTGTCAAAATATCTATGCAAGGCCTTTCTATCACCAAGAGAATCAAAGCTCTTCCCAATTTAGCATCATCCACAAATTTAACATACCCTCAAGAACTTTAAGAACATAATTGAAGAAAATATGGAAGAGAACTGCTTCGGAAATGGAGCCCTGCAGAACCCCACTAGTGACTGGTTGCCAGTCTGATGCAATCCCATTAACTAGAACCCTTTGACCCTGATCTGCCAGCCAATCCATCAGCCAATGCATTCTGATTTTGTCTTGCTGCATGCTGGGTAGTTTGTCCAGAAGAATATTGGGAGAAACAGCACTGAAAGCTTTGCTGAAATCCCACAAGATTATGCCTTGTCTTCTTTTCCCTTGTGATAAAAAGATTATAAACCTTATAAAAAGTTCATTAAAAAGATCTTTCCCATTGTGAATCCACGCTGGCTACAACCAATGACTGCACTGTCTTTCAGGTGTTTTTCAGTATTTTCCAGAATAACCACCTCCACAATTTTGTCTGGTTTCTTAGGACCACATCTGCCAGCTTCCAGTTACTGAGACCTCTCCAGACTTCCAAAACCACTGAAAAATAATTGAGAGGGGTCTCACAATGACATCAGTCAGGTCTTTGAGTACCCTGGGATGAATCCCATTGGTCCCCTCAGATTTATAGATTTATATACATCCTGCTGGAGCAGCAAATTGCACACGAGTTCAGAGTTGGCCAGGAGTTTATTATTAGCGCAGTCACAGTCTTCAAATTCAAGGCTCTGGTGGTCCCAGAGCCCATCATTGGTGCTGAACACAGAAGCAAAGAAGGCATTAAACATTTCTGCATTGCTGGCATCCCTATTTGTGATGTGACATTCACCAAGTAACAGTACAGTGTCATCTCTGCTCCTCCACTTGCTGCTATCGTATTTTAAATAGACTTTTTTTGCTTTTCCCTGAAGTTCTGCTCAGCTTCAACTCTAACTGAGCTCTTGTCACACACATATGCTCTCCCTGCCATGGCAAACAACATCTCTGTAGTCCTCCCATGCCTCTTCCACTGACAATACACTTTCTTCTTCCACCTAAGCTGCACAAGAAGACCTCTGCTCAGCCAACCTGACCGTCTGCCCTGATCTCCTGCACGGTTTCCAACATTATGGCACTGCTTGCTCTTGGGCACAAGAGAGATAGTGCTTAAAAGTGACCAGCACTCATGTTTGGTGTGTTCTGCAACAATATCACTGATGAACTGGTTTTATCCCTCTTCCCTCTTCAAAACCAGGGCAACTCTCAGGCTATAGGCCCCAGTCTTTGCAAGAGCAAACACGTAAGTGCTTACATGCAGCCTCAAAACCGTGTCAAATACTGAGAAATGCTGCTCACATTTAGAGAAAAGACTGAATAATACCACGAGGGAATAAGATATTGTCAGCTCTGCTCACTGGGGTCAGTCAAAAACTTAAATGCAGCAGAAACAAAAGAAGCACTTGCCATAATATAAACAAAGGAAAAGAGAAAATTAAAGAAATAAGCAATCCAACCCTTTTCCACTTTAATTTGTGTCTGTATCCTGCTGAGGGAACAAGCAGTTTGTAAGTTGTAGTCTGCCATGTAATTCAGGCTCATTAGCTGCAGGCTCATAAATAGGACAGTAAAGCAAAGACTGATTTATAGGATCCAAAGAGAGAGAGCCGAAGTCCTGCAGCTATTTGCATCCTCCTCACATACAAACGTGTGCTGATGGAAAGTTTCCTGCTGAGAAAGAGAGAGAAGCAAGAGATGCTCGGGAGGGAGATCTCACTCTAAAAAACAAAAAAGTCTAAACTGTAACAAGGCAAGAAACTTCGTATTACATCGGTGTTTTTTTTCCCCCTCAAATCCACAGGCTAATGATTACAGAGAGGCAGGGCTTGCTGCAATCACACTACTTAACTGCTGCTCAGCAGGTGTCTGCCCCTACATCTGAAGCCGTCTCTCAAAGTCACAGCAGGGCAGAGGTAATGGGGAGGATGTGAAGTGAGCAAAGTGTCCCAACACCAGTAGAAGAGGGTAACAATTATCATGGCAGAAGATTAACACATCAGATCAAAGCTGAAAAGCCTCACAACAGGTTTTGGGGGTTTCTTGGTGATTATCTGAGAACTGCTTTTCCTCACCTGACAGCTACAATGGGTGCTGGGAAATCATTTGCTCAGAAAAATTCTTCAGCTGAGCAGAGTTGAAGAAGCAGGACTGCAAAATCTCAATGCAAAGTTACAACTTTGGATCTTTTCCTACCTCAAATAATCTCCAAGCTGAGTGGGAGCTGACTGCACAGTGAGCATTCTTTCCCTAACGCTGAAAAATGCTCCTTCATCTTTTCATTTGGATCAGGCAAATGTAAACATAACCAGCACCCAGCTTCTCCCTGGAGTTCAGTTCTGCTGGCTTTGAAAGCAGTTCAGCTCCATCATTTAGAGACAAATACTGTGTGCAATTTAAAGCCCCCATTTCTCTCAATACCTAACAGAAGTTGGCTGAAGGGCCTCCATTCAGCACACCTGACTTCAGCAGACTTCTGTGAATTCCTGCTTTGAAGATAAAGAGATTCTGGGGCTGCTGCAATGTGGATGTCCTTAGCTCTGAACTCAGCCACTCACAGTGTTGATGGGCTCCATCATTCATTCAAGCAAAACTTGCAAGCTTCTTTACCTTAGAATTACAGCCGTGGCTTGTAAAGCCCACACCTCCAAACCCAGCAGTGTACAGAATCATAGAGTCACAGAATCTCCAAGGTTGGGAAGGGCCTCCAAGATGATCCTGTCCAGCCATTCACCTACCAGTGATATTTCCCCACTAAACCACATCCCTTAAGACAACACCTACACGTTTCTTGAACGCTCTAAACATTTCTTCTACACAAGAGTAGTTAAACAAGTGCCCATACATCAGATCAGTTGCAGTGTATGTAGTGCTATGGCAAAAGAAAAAATGGATGGAAAGGTGTGTATTGCACACAGACCTGGAAAAACACAAAAAGTCTGAATATAGGAGACTGAATGGCTGAATGAAGGAGATCATTTAAGAAAGACTTCCACCTCAACACAATCAAAGGTGCTTCCAGATGCACCAAGGAAAAAAAGTGCAAAAAAACAAACCTGACATAAGGTCTTCTTTAGTGCAGATCACTAGGAATCAATGTATTTAGCTGTTCAGCATCATGGCTTGCGCACATTTAATACAACCCAAGAAGGCTGACTGTGCAACTAGCGGTTGCACGCCACATGGACAACAGAATAAAGCTTAAAGCAGGGTAAGGACAGTAGAGAACTCATTAGAACTAGGGAATTCATTAGCATTTTGCTCAGAAAAGGAAACTGTCACTTCCACAGGTGATTTTGAACTCCTTCATTCAGCCGTCCAGAATGAAATGCAGTACTTTGGTGGAAAGCCTACGAACTGCAGCTGCTGCTCCATTTCTGAATGATCAGTAACCATGTTTCTTTACACGCTGCTTGCCTGCGAGCAACTACACTTCATTAGAGAAATCCCCCAGTTCTTTGAGCACTGGGACGCTCTTCATGCTTTTCTGAACCACAGCGTACCAGCCATTCTAAGGGCACAGTGCAGCCCATGAGCCAGCAGACAGAATCATAGAATCACAGAACGGCCAGGGTTGGAAGGGACCTCAAGGATCATGAAGCTACAACCCCCCCCTGCCACACGCAGGGCCACCAACCTCCCCATTTAATACCAGACCAGGCTGCCCAGGGCCCCATCCAACCTGGCCTTCAACACCTCCAGGGATGGACATCCACAGCCACTGTCTTTCTCATACTGGGGGCTCCAGACCTGGACACAGCACTCCAGATGGGGCCTCACAAGAGCAGAGCAGACAGCATCGAGCACCACGCTCCCTTCTGCCCCTACCTGGGGTGGCTCTGAGCTCCGTGCCCACACACGCGGTTCATGGAACAGGGATGGGAAGCAGGATGCCGACCTGCGACACACACGTGCTGCACACCTATGCTGCTTCTTGGCAGCAGGGCTGCGCTTCCCTGCACTCCTGCCAGGCTCACAGCTTTCAGCGCTCAACACAGCCGGGCAATAAACTTCCTGTGCCGAGAAATTAACAAAATTAACGAAAGCAGAGCTTTTTCACCTTCACTCCCCCCAACATCGGGGCACGCCGGGAGGCTCCGTGCCCCACCGGCGACATCTCACACACACACACACACACAGCCCGAAAAGCCGAGGCGCTTCAGCCCACCGCCGCGGGGAACGGGCACAAAGTTGGCACGCAGGGGAGAGCCGGGCTGAGCCACGACCCGGGGCTGCGAACCCGACCCGGCCCGCCAGGAGCGCGCAGGCACCGCCAGACAGGTCGCTGCCCGGCCGTAAGCGCGGGGCCAGCAGCGCCGGCACCGCCCGGCCCAGCTCCCGCCGCCCAGCCCCGGGCCCCCCGCCCCGCCAGGCCGCCCTGCCCCGCTCGGCGGTCCTTACGCTTGCAGCCTCCCGAGATCCCCACCATCGCACGGCTCCCCGCTCCCGGCGCGGCCCAGGCGGCCCGGCCCGGCCCTGCCCGCCTCTCGGCGTGACGCGGGGGGCGCGGCCAGCCCCAGGGCGGCGGTTGGTCGGCTTCTGGGTAACCCGTTCAAATGAGAATTAGAAACGAGGCGATATCGATGCGGGTGAAGCCTTGGCGAGGATATAGCCAGCAGTGTTGTTCTGTTGTAGTCCAAAATGAGCCCGGCTCCCCTGGCCACGCCGAGCCCCTCGCCCCTGTCTGGGGAGGAGAACGCAGAGGCACATCCCAGTGCCCGCAGCCCAGGCTCTAAGGGTGAATGCTGTCCTAGCCCAGCACCGCCGCTCACGTCCTGCAGGAGGTGTTTCAGGGGCTCCGTGGTGCCTGCAGGACAGCTGGGATGAATCACAGAATCACAGAATGGCCAAGATTGGAAGGCACCTCAAGGATCATGAAGCTCCAGCCACCCTGCCACACGCAGGGCCACCAACCTCCCCATTTCATACCAGACCAGGCTGCCCAGGGCCCCATCCAACCCGGCTTTGAACACCTCCAGGGATGGACGGGGCATCCACAGCCTCTCTGGGCAGCTGTTCCAGCACCTCACCACTCTCTCTGCAAAGAACTTCCCCCTGACATCCAACCTCAACCTTCCCTCCCTCAACTTAAAACCATTTCCCCTTCTCCTGCTGTTATCTACCCTTTCAAAGAGTTGATTCCCCTCCTGTTTGTGGGCTCCCTTTAGGCACTGAAAGGCTGCAATGAGGTCACCCAATAGCCTTCTTTTCTCCAGGCTGAACAAGCCCAGCTCCCTCAGCTTGTCTTTGTAGGGAGCTGCTCCAGTCCCCTGATTATCTCTGTGGCTCCTCTGGACCCTCTCCAACAGCTCCCTGTCCTTCTCTTACTGGGGCTCCAGACCTGGACACAGCACTCCAGATGGAGCCTCACAAGAGCAGAGGAGAGGCAGACAGACAATCACCTCCCTGTCCCTGCTGGCCACCCCTCTTCTGATGGAGCAGGATACCATTTGCTTTCCGAGCTGCAAGAGCACACTGCTGGCTCATGTTAAGCTTTTCCTCCATCAAGACCCCCATGAAACATGGGACTCCTCAGCGAGGATGGTTGCAGCTGACTGCCCAGCCTTCAACAGGGCTGAGGAGCTCCATCACAAGCCCATGTGGTTTGCTGTGGCTCTGTAAGGCAGTCTGGTGTGCCAGCAGCTCTCCCTTAGACCTGGTCCCCCAGCATCTTGCCTCTGCAAGAATGCCCCTCAGAGCCTGACTGCAGAGCCAGTTCATTTAGATGTCATTTTTACCCTATGTGAAAAAACCTGATGCTAAGTCAACGGTTCACAACAGACCTCCAGTGTGGCTGTTTTAATTGTGGCAGAGTCCAAAGCTTGGTTTTCCCTCTGGTGGTTACCACTGAGCCCAAAAGTGCTGGGATTGCTGATCCCAAGAGCTTCACCAAGTGTCTAGAAGTTCTGCCTGAGCTTTGTTGCAGCTGCACATGCAGCACCAGCCCAGAGCTGACAAGCAGTCAGCAGCTGAAAACAGAGCAAGAGGTGGTCTGTGCTAAGGAATTTGCTGTGATAGGTTCTCCCTAGGGACACTGCGGGTGGGCTGGCTGGGCCAGGAACTTCCCAATAGCCTTAAAGGAAAGTAGCTGTGTATCTGCAAACTCAGTTATAGCTGGGGTTTCTGTTCTCAGCAGTGAAATACTAATGTGGTCCGGAGAGCTGGACCTCATCTATCCTGTGCAGAAATCCTTGCCAGCAGTTGGCAGATCACACTGGCACCAGTGTTCCTGTGGCTCTTTGCTCCATGAAGCCCAGTGGCTCAGCATTCGCAGGGTGCATCACACCTCTTAGGACGGAGCAGAACATTCAGATTGGCTGTCCTATGCACCATCAACTCTCTGTCATTATAAGCAAGGCAACAAGAGCTGTGAGCCCTGCATAGCACTGGGGAAGGAAGGGCAGCAACACTGCTGTTGTCCCATAGGGTCACATTCCCAGCAAACTGGCAGTGAATCCCTCCATTTCTGCATGGGTTACTGCTGGTCATGTTCCTGTTTGAAGCACAGCTGCAGGTGAGCTACTGTGCAGTGACTGAGTGCAGCTTTGTTTGAGTTTGATGGCCAGGAGCAGGCATCTCTTGGGTTTAGAAGTCCCACAGACATTTCAGATATGCTTCATTGTACCCTTCAACTATGGACATTACATACACAATATATACAGTGGAGCAGACTGAAGGATATGAATAGCACAGAGATCCTCAAAGTTTGGCATGTTCTGTCACAATATCACTGGTGAACTGATTTTATCCCTTCTCGTCCTTCAAATCATAGACACCTCTCCTCCTCCTTCAAAATTAGGGCAAATCTCAGGCCTGCACTTCGTTCCCTGCAGCTCCAGGGCAGTTTCTCACTAAGGAAATTCCCAAATTACTTGCTAAGGAAATGCAGCAGTGCCCAGAGTGGTCAGTGTTCCTGACTGCAGGAAGATGGGCTCTTGCAGAGAGAGAACTGCTGAAGGAGATAGGAGAAGGGATGAGATCAGGCAGGAGTGAGAGTACACTGCAGCTATTGAGCCCAAAAAGACAATAATTCTGTGCTAAAATGCTTCCAGTAAGGGAAATCTGAGGCCATCAGTTATGGCACAGATCAAACGCATGTGAACCTGAGAGTGCTCAGTCTGGCTTAGAAACTATAATCTTTTCCCTGAAGCCACCTCAGATCTTCCTCATTTGTATATTCAAGCTGGTGGGTGCCTGATGCAGAGATAAGGATAGGGAAACCATCTTTAATATCACATTTGTTTTCCAAAAGCTATCTGGCTCCATTTTTTTTTTTACAGTTTGAGAAAGCAGTGACTTTGGCAGTGCTGCATTCCCCCAAAGTGCCCTGGTTGATAAGATGAACAACTGGAGGGGTGGAAAAGTGATGTGTGAGCATTGCAGTTGCCAATGCTGAGTGTCAGATGTACATCTCCTTACGAGACCTTCCATTTCTTCTCTGAGATGAAGAAGCTCACTGCAGCCATTGAGGATCTCAGGAGACAACAAGCAGGTCCTGCTCCATATCACCTGCTCCTCTGGGTCCCCATTGGCCAGTCACTCATTTCTGTATCTTGGGATTTTACTCCTGGTCTCCTCACCCATAGGGACAGCTTTCTGCCCAGCTCCACTGCCCTGCTCAGTGATGTGGCATGAGCTAGCTCAGCACCAGTCAGGATCTAGCCAAGCAGATACAAAGCAGTGGCAGTTGATGCAAAGCCAGCGATAAGCAACAAGATCTGAGGACTGCCCAGCCCACATATGGCTTGGATTTCGTGTAGGATCGCATTTCTCTGGTCATTGCATCTCTTTGGTCACGATGCTGAGCCCCATGGTTTGGCTTCCATCAGCTGCAAGCTCTACTCTCTCCCTCCTCCATAGACAAGTGCCATGAAGCCAAGACCCTGCCAGCAAGTGAGCTGCCAGGAGAGGCTGCAGAAGTGGGGACATCTCCTCTGAGACCACTGGAGACCACAGCTCCTTCCTCACGTCAATGTTTGCAAGGGGATGACCACGGTTGGGTGCTGAGACTTAGCACTGCAGCATGCATCGTGCCTGCTCACAGCACCCATGCTACCTGGGGAGCTGCAGCACCACTCAAACTTCTAGCAGTGGTCCCCAAACACCCCCTGCTCTCATGGTGAGCCTGAGCCTCGCCGTGCAGGCTGCCTGCCATCTGGCATGAGTGGGACTGAGTAGAGTTAAATAAATGTTAAATACACATTAATGCCATGTGACAACTAGCAAAAGGCAGTGACTTCAAGCTTGAAGAGTCTGCTTATGTAAACAGCATCCTGAAATTAATATTTACCTTTTAAAGCAAACAGATATTTGGGGTATTTTGTTGTCTTTCTGCCTAGCAGATGCTAAGAACAACAGCTTGGTGCTGCAGGGAATTGGCTTGACAGCTCAGGGGATGGTAAACTCCCTGGCAGCCTCCAGACTGTGAGGTCAGAGCCGGTCCCTCTCTTTTCAAGCAGATAAATTCTCACAAACACCAGATTAATCTTTGCTGAGGGGCTCAACCCTTAATGAGGAGCAGGACCTGGGGAGCGGGAATTCACACAGCAGATGGATGAAGACTTTGGGGATGCCTGAAGCAAACTCTTGTCTGGAAGGTTCTGGGGGAGGCTGTCCTGTGCTCCATTACCAGCAGAACCTGCATCCATGGGGCAAATCTCACAATTTTTCATTTTTTAAAGGATGATCAGTTTGTAAATCGCAGCTTCAGCCCATTTCAACTGACTACACAGCCCTTAGAGCCCCCCAGCCTGATTTTGCTCCTGTGGGAAGGGCTGTCCCATGTACACCTACAGACCTGACCTTTTTGGGATTTCACCGAGGTGAAAATGGTGGCATTTCCCAGCCCATGGGATGGCTGTCCAGTATCTGGGGCTGGGAGATTTTAGGAGCATCTTTCATCCCATCGCTGCTGACCTCACCCAGGGATTGCCTTTATTTCACTTCTCTGCTCCTTTTCTTGCCTTAATCCCCAGTGCTATACTTTCATCCTCTTCTACCATGCGACACATGGGGACATCCATGCCACCCAACAGCTGCCCAAGGGAATCGGGCTGGCTTATCTGCATGGGGTCACACTCAAAGTGTCTCCATCTCAGTGGGAATAAAGACGTGCAGAGCTCAGAGTTGAGGGGCTTGGTGAGTGGGATGGGGCTGATCCTGCGTGTCCCAAATCAAGCCCTCCAGTATGCACCAGTCCTGTGAGCATCACACTGAGGGACTGTCACCTGCTCCTATCCCGCTGCACAGCTGCCAGCTTGGGAGGACAAACTGAGAGCTGCTTTTGGAGGCCGGTACCCACAAAGTAAACCCATTAACACAGGAGGTTCATGGGTGGGATCTGGGGCAGGATTGGGCTGGGAGGATGTGGAGAGGCTCGACTGCCCCTGTAAAAAGTAAAACAAACCAATAACAGTGTTCCTAGAACAGCTTGGAAAGAGACGCGGGCACAGTTGCAAGGATAGGGGAAT